TTGTGTTGGGTCATCTTCAGAAGACTGCGCTCGAGCGCTCTAGGGTCCGTAAGGCTTTCGGCGTGGCTACTGTGTCAGCCCAAGTCTCAGCTGCGTAACAGAGCGCCGGGAGAAGATTGAGTCGAACAGGTGGGCACGAAGCTCCGGGTCCGTCAGTTGGTCGCTGGCTTCCTTCAGAGGCCCGAAGGCGGCCCAGGCTGCTCTTCTTCTCTTGTTAAGTTCTTCCCTCAAGTCGTTTCCCATGTCCATCGAACGTCCGAGATACACGGAAGACGTCTCCATAATAGGGGTGCCTTCCAGTTTCATTTCTTCATCTTCGCAAAGGGCGTTCTTCATGAACTGAGTCTTCTTCCGATTTATTCGCAATCCGATCTTCTTCCCTAATTCGGTTAGTTCCTTCAGCATCGTCTCTGCTTCGGTGATACTGCTTGAGAAGAGAACGATGTCGTCCGCAAAACGAAGGTTAGACAGGAATCTCTCATTAACTCGTATGCCTCTCTCGTCCCAGTCCAGTGATTTCATCACTCACTGCAAGGCCGCGGTGAACAGCTTCGGCAAAATAGTATCACCTTGTCGGAACCCCTTCCCGATTGGAATGGTCAGGGGGCGATGGAACAGCTGCATCGTCGCTGTACAGTCCTTGTAGCAGTCGGCTAACGTCCTCACGTAAGCTGGGTCCACTCCTTGAATCGACTAGCGAGGACAGAATGGCGTTGGTTTCGACGCTGTCAAAGGCTTTCTCGTAGTCGACAAAGGTTAGGACGAGAGGCAGTCGGTACTCCCGGCAGACTTCTATGACCCTCGAAACGGTCTGGATGTGGTCCATGCAGCTGAATCCTTTACGAAATCCAGCTTGTTCTTGGGGTTGGGCTTCATCCAGTGTCCTAGATATGCGAGCGAGGATAATCTTCGTGAAAAGCTTGTACAGCACACTCAGCAGGCATATTGGACGGTAGTTCCGAAGATCCTCCCGTTTACCCTTCCTGAAAAGAAGAACGGTTCTTGACGTTCTCCACTGGTCGGGAATGCTCTCCTTCTGAAAGTAAGATGTCAGGTGCGACGCGAGAATCTCGTGTAGACGTTGTCCTCCGGCTCGCAGAAATTCGACGGAGAGATGATCTGGTCCTGGAGCCGTGGATGTCTTCATGGTCTGAATCGCCGTGCGCACTTCAGCAGGTAGAATTCGTAATTGTACTTCTCCAGTGGAAACAACGGGCATCGGCACGGGTGTTGATGAGCGGAAGAGGTTGGTATAGAAGTTTTTCACGATAGATTCCATCTTGTTTCGGAAAGAAGTCGGAGTCCCGTCTTCGTTTAATAGTGCAGCCAGCGGTAAGTGATATTCGCAGAGGTCCCTTCGGCACTTCTTGAGACTTCGTCTTCCTTCGGCTGCTTCCAGTATCTTGGCTCGCTTGTACTTCCTGAGATCCTCCTGCAAAGCTGTTCTGCAACTAGCGTTGGCTATCAGTCGCTCGAGATGGGTTGCATTCGGATCCTCTCAGAAATCTTCTTCTTTCAAGCGGTTCCTTGGTGGTCTTCGAAATGCGTTCCAAATTCTTCTCAGAAGTCACTGAGGCACACTCTCCACAATTCGCAATCTTTTCAGAAGCTGGTCGTAGTCGCACGTTGGGTCCTCCTCGATGGGCCAGTCACAATTTGATATAAGCTCTTCCATCCTGTTACCGCCTTAAATGACTTCATTCCTTCTCGCGGCACCGTGACAGACTTTCTTTTCCAGCCTGCGACTGAATCGTATCTTCGCTCGAAGGAGGCGGTGATCAGAGCCACTGCAGAAGGATGGAACTACTGAGACATCGAGCAAGCTCCACCTTCGGTTGGTGAGAATATGGTCGATCTCCGCGTGTGTCGTTCCGTTGGGCGATTTCCATGTCCACCGGCGATGTTCTTTCTTCATGAAGATGGAATTTCCATGGAAGAGTCGTGCGGCGGAGGGAAGCTCAACGAGACGGTTGCCGTTTTCGTTTCGAAGCCCATATCCAAACTTCCCAATCCTGTATTCCTCTTCTAGTGGCATCTCGATCTTCGCCTTGAAGTCGCCCACAACGAACTTGTAAGGACTTCTCGTTGCGGACGACCTCCTCCACGTCGTCGTAAAAAGCATCTAGTTCTGATTCGTCAGCTGCTGATGTTGGTGAGTAGCAGTTGATGATGCTGATGGTCTTCTGACGAGAGGTCGTAGTCGTAGGATGACCAGTCGACGTAAGAGGATCTCATGCGAATCGACAAGATGGACGATAGGTGGGTGGATGACAAAGCCAACGCCTCCAACGTTTCGTGATGGAACCTTTTCACCACGAAGATGAGGGTCGCATCACTCATCTGTCGCACGTCCTCCTTCCTGGACTTCGTTTCCTGCAGAGCGATGATGTAGTACTTGATGTGCTTTGCAGCGTCGAGAAGAGCGTGGAGGTCGGCGTTTGTGGAGACTGTCCTGGCGTTGTAGGTGCAGAGCATGAGGCAGTCTCCATGACATGTCGTTCGGCAGATGTGTCGTTTTTGTCCAATCCAAAAGGCGCCCTGAGTACCCTGACATCGTTCTTGCTACCACTCGGCGCCGTAGGCGGGATCCGATGTGCAGGGTTTATTTCTCTTCTTTTTGCTGATCGAGTAATAAAATGTTTCTCCTATAAGAACAGACTTACTAGGCCACCTTTGATTTCCACGAGGCGATCGCTGACCTTGGATGTGGAGCGGGGAGAGACCGCCTAACGACCAGAAGAAGCCAGACGGCAGGGGATCTGACGTAGCCGGTTCTTAGCTAGGCATCCGGCCGAAACCGGAAACGTCGGACTCCTTCACAGCTTGGGAGACCCTACCAGAGCATACACTCGGCTGTGCATCGCAATTCGACGCCCAGTGTCACCCCCACGCCACGATGTGTTGTGGCGACCCACTATTGTGGGGGTGGGGGTGACACACACAAAAGAAAATTATGGAAGGAAACATGAAAGGGGAAGAAATTGTTCTTATTTTGTGAATATACTATTTCTTTTTCATCTACCCATTATTTTGATTTCTTCTGAGAGTGGGCATAATTGAAAAGTTGAACTTGATTATAGCGAAAACCAATTTTCTAATCCTCGTCAAATACACTACAACCTATTATATCAAATTGTTTCGAGAATTCCCCCCGGATTACAGAATGCGCTATCCTTTCGGGGCCAAGAACGATATCCAGCCCGTGAAAGCGCCACATTCGCCGGGCCCTATATCTACAGGGTGTCTCAAAGGTATGTATACACTATTTAACATCTTTAACATCACACAACGTTAACATCTCTCTTCCTAAGAGGTCTTTTGCCTTCCTTTAAGAACCATTTTGTAGAGCTGGCTTCAGCCTAGATTTGCAGTATGGAATGACTAATTGATTGCTTCTCGCTGTAGGGTTACGGTAAGAACTTCCAATATACATCGTCATTGTGGACTGATCGTGTTTCAAAAAGATTTCCAAAAAATTCGAGAGGTGGTGTACCAGGATTTTCACACTTGCTGACTTCATGTTCAACTTTTTACGAGTTTTTAAAGCTTTTCAGAAGGGATTACTACAATTTTAGGAAGCATTCTAAAAACGCTCTTGCGATTTATCCAACATAACTTATGAAGGAACCACTGCGGTGAACTACAAACTTCAGATTTAGTTTTAGCGACTCGGAATTAGTCTAGAGCGAAGGTTGCAGCCTATTTAGTTCGCTTTCAAGGCGCCATAAGGCCCTCAATGGCTCAAAATCCTCCTTGAAGTTTCTGCCGTAATCCTACAATACCGCTCGTAATTTGTGAAAAAAATTGGCCGCGGCCGCTTAACTCAGGCGGCGACCACCAAAGTTAAGCGGCGGTCGGCGCAGTTAGGCGGCAAGCACCGCGTTATACAAAGTTAGGCGGCGGGCGCCTAACTTCGGTGGCCGCCGCCTGAGTTAAGCGGCCGCCGCCAATTTTTTTCACAAATTACGAGCGATATTGTACAGCAATGAATAGCGATCAGTGAATCGCTCCATACTATAAATCCAAGCTGAAGTCAGCATTACAGAATGCCACCTAAAAATAAGCAAAGGAGTTCTTGGGAAGAGAGAAGATTCAGAAAATCAAACGGTGTATAATACTTCTGAGACACCCTGTATAAAATTAATCTCATAATTCTTTACGAAAATTTTGTTTCCAGGCGAATCTGAGCACTGGGTTGTTTTATTTAGAGGCTTGGAGGCCATATTCAGTTCCTCTAGGTATAAGATAGCTCAAGATTTATTTATAGTCAAGAAATTTGCCTTCAAACTCTCGCCCAGTACTTTTCTAGCGGAAGGAGCGCCTTAGAGTAAGAACACTTATGAGCAGTGGCGTACCCAGGATTTCGGCTCGGGGGGGGGGGGGGGCGCGACAAAAATTTTTTCACACTCCGAAAAAATTTTGTGGGTGCTTTTAAGAACTTTTGTGGGTCCCCGACCCCTAAAATCTGGAAAAAGGGGACGTGGCGTCAGCTTTTTTTACAAGGCTAATTAGAACTTTTAAAAATTTTCAAAAATTATTTTAATTATTTACAAAAATAAACAAGTCACTTGCACATTTTTATAACCCATATAAGTAACTTTCAAAAATTTCGCGACCCATTCTCGGGGGGGGGGGGGCGCCCCCTCCCCCCTTCGGTACGCCACTGCTTATGAGTTATGGCTATCGAATGCTTATTGCTTACTGAGGCCTTGCGTTTGATATCCATATAAATGTCAACTCTATAGTCAAAGATGTTACAATACGTGCCTATAAATCGGGTTGCTTGATGGAGGGCAGATCTTTGACCACTGGTAAAGAAAAAAGCCTGTTTAACACGGAACTCAGACAAGAAGATATATCGATATGATTGTTGCCTTCCGCATATCCTGCAAATGGCACTGATAAATAGCTATCCCGTTGGTGAAAAGAGATGTTTGATGGTTTATAATTTCAAAATTCACTGCTAGTTGAATTTATGCTAATTTTCAATATATTTTGAGGAAAAACGTGGACACCGACAACGAGGAAACAAACTCCATAACAGAAGTATTGGAATCGTTTCTAAACAGCATAAACAATGAATCACTAACAGATATAAGCGCCGGGATTAAGTATAGTGGAGAAATGAACTTAAGAGGATATGCTGATGTAAGCCTTAGCAACTTGCTCACTTTGCTCGAACCAGAGAAAGCAGAGCTAAAAAGTAAATCTTTGTTTGCAGCTCGTAAGGGCGAATACGACTGAGATAGCCTGCGCGAAAACAATATGCAATGATTCAGACTCTTCTGACAACGTGTATTCAGTGTACTGTATAACCAACACAGCGTAAGTTTCTCCAGTTGAATTTCTGTCTAAAATATAGACTCGAAAACAAAAAATACGACGGCTAGACTGATTTGCGCATCTGTATGGCTATAGCGTTGTTGTGAATAGAAGCCAGTCGCACAAATCGCGGCAAAGCGGCAGTGTGGTGATGACGACAAGAGGGAGCAGAGGCCGAGAGCGCGTCGAGAAAGAAGCTTGAAGACAAGAGCAAGAGAGAAAGAGACTTGAGACAAGAATCTTGAGAGTATATGAATTTGCAAGCTTGAGATGACGAAAGGGGGATACGAAATCGTACCATTTCATTGTATTAGGTTGCTGCATAAGTTCTGTCCGTTTTTTTTGCCTTATGTTTGAAGCAGCTGTTCTGAAAAAATTTCATCCCTGGTGCAGTATTATTAGTATCATTAGAAAATGCTTTCCTTGCTCTTTCCAACGCATATCAGATTTCAATGAATTTTTCAGTGTATGGAGATTTCAGGTCTAAAATCTTTAAATAGCCGAGGTACGTTCTAACCCTAGATATATGTTCTTGCGAGGAAATCTCCATGCGCTCTTCAAGTCAACTTCTTTCATCGGCTGCGGAATAAGGGTGTAGAAAGCTAGTATATGCAGAAGTTCGGATCCATGAAGAGAACGTCTTGCTAGTAAAATATATAGTCGAACATTAATTTTTTGTATAGATGTTTTACAAGCAATAACTTTCTAGTAGAAGTAATCGATAAGCTCAAAGTTGGAGGTGCTAGAACAAAGCAAGAGCTAGCAGGGTCCATCCACCGGTTCCTTTTCGGCGCTCACGTTAATTGTAAAATTTTCATAATTCGTGAATAGGCATGCACACATGTTCGAAGCGAGGTCAGAAAGTGGCTTCTTTTTGCTCGATCAAAAAAAAATCTCTCGGCAGCGCAGATCCTATGGGCTCCTTTATGTTGCGTAGTAATCTATGAAAATTCTCAGAAAATTTCTCTATCCATCCATTAGATAAGATGTTTATCTTTTCTCAAGGGAGCGTTGCCATGTCAAAAAAGAGAGGTCTGAAGAAAAACGCTGTGAAGTTCTTGCATTCTTGCTTCTTCCTTAACAAGGATTTGCGCAGTTCTCAATATACGTTTCATAGCAAAAGAGCTGCTCAACACAAAGAAACTAAGATCGTGGAAAAAAGTTGAATTTAAAAAAGTTACGGCGTTTTGAACTCAAAATATCCAAATAGAACAGAACTTATGCAGCAACCTAACAGAAAGGGTGATAAGCAGGTATGCTGACTACGAATAAGATAACTGCTTGTGGAATTATCCATTACTTCCATCGTTTTCATACATTCTTCTGCAAATTTTGAGCTGTGGGCTGGTTGACAGAGTCGGGTAAGTGAGCATGCTGGTTACAAATTCAGCAATTTGAATTGTCGACTCCAGGAATTCTTTTGATTTTGGAAAGGTCCAGCTTCGAAAGAGTAGAAGATCGTTCAAAAATTATCTGCTGTTTTTGCGGAAGGTTTGAGAAACAGTTTACTTACAAGGGATGTACACTTAGTCAAAGTGGCGATTCGGAAGGAGGTCTATACCAATGGATAGAGCTTGAAACACTGATCTCAGATATACCTTCTATATCTGCGACGCAATGTTCTGAAAAAGTTACGAGCTATTCTAAAGCCACGTGCATTTTGAGTCGCAAAATCATGACAATCGCTACACAAAAGTGTGCAAGCTTAAGCAAACCACTTAGTAAGCATTGTAGGTCTAATTCGAGTAAATCCGAACGTTTTCGAGTGTTTTCCGACCATGTTGTTAGTCCACAGGTCGCCATTTCCTTCCTAAATCACACTTCCACTATATATACAAAAAAGCCCCTCCATTTAGAGGCACGCGTCGCAGATATTGAAGATATATTGAGAGCATCGTTTTACGTTCTATCCACTGGTAGTTTCCAAAAAGTTTCCGACCCGACGCGTTTTTCTAGATGAGGTTATGGGACTTTTTTGTATACATAATGGAAGTGTGATCTAGGAATGAAATCACGACCTGTGGATGAACAACATGGTCGAAAAACACTCGACAACACTGGATGAACTCAAAACAGATCTGAAATGCTTATTAGGTGATTTGCTTGAGCTTGCACACTTTTGCGTAGAGATTATCTTGATTTTGCGACTCAAAATGCACTAAAATTTGGCTTCAGTAAAGCTCGTAACTTTTTCTAGAACAATGCATCGCAGATACAGAAGGTATATCTGAGATCATCTTTTTGAGTTCTATCCACTGGTATAGATCCTCTTCCGGATCGCCACTTTGACTAAGTGAACTTCCCTTGTTAGACCCGCGCAAAGGAGTTCTACTCTTCCTAGGTAATTTTGAGAAAGAAACTGAGACTTTAAATTTCAATGCGATTAAGCTGTTTAAATTCCATTAATCTCTAGAAAAGTAATTGTGTGAGCAAGAGAAGTTTTGTGGAAGCGAAAAACCTGATTTGCGCTGGATAGAAAATAATTAGCGGAATTATTTAACTTCCTGGCAACTTTTAAACAATTTTACAAAATATTCACTTTTGAGAGCATCGGTGTAGAGATATCATTTTGCTTTTGAAGAGTACTTGTGTGAGCAAGCTCAGTCTCACGGGGGGAAATCTCAATGTTGCGCAGGATAGAAATCATTTGAGAAATTAGCTCTTCGCAATCCAGGCAAATTTTGATGGACTTTGTGGAAAACACATTGGAGAGCAACTGCGCTGAAAAAATTTCATTTCTCTCACAAAGAGGTGATCGTGTGAGCAAGCTTTCATTCTATACAATAACTATGAAGTTCGATGTGAAACCTGCTTTCGAGAGCATAACTCACGAAAATCTCTTTCGGTTTTGGAATGTAGACTGTTGGAGCAGGCTTTGGTCTTGCAGGAGAGGCTAGAGGGCGAAGTATTACCGTGGAGCTTTTATGTTTTCAGATGTGCAAATACACCTTTGGAAGCAGCTGTATAGAATCCTTCGCTGCAAGAAATATTTAATTAGATTAAAAACATTGAAAGCTGCAAAAACCGTTATTATCTTCCAGAATTTCAAGAACATTTTGGTGGTATTTTGGATTGCATCTTGGCTGCAGACATTGCTGATTCGCCAAATCAGTTGTGCTGCATTGAGAGTAAATCAGGCGTGATTTCCATCAATAAAATTGTGCAATAAAAAAAGAGATGATTGCATGAAGATGCATGGTTCAGAGCATAGTTGCGATAGGGGGAGTAATGGATCTTACTCCCTTCACTTTGAGGCCAAACTCCCGATAACCCCCTTCACCTGGGCTGAGATTGGTATTGTATTCTGAGAATATGATAAAAATCGTTATCAAAAGGTTTTGCAGGCTAAGTACCTCAAACAACAAGTACACTCATCCATCTACAAAAGAAACGTATTTATGTTTATTTATATTATTTATTAATCCTCGTAGCATTCATTTGGAGAGCAGAAAGTGAGGACAAAAAAGCAGTTGGTTTTTGGGGTACATATAATCCCTCATATCTCGCGGCACAGAAGACCTAGGAAAAAGTCGACGGTCTACGTCGATTCTCCATGATCTCAGCTTTCGAATGGTATAAAGCATGTTAGGGCTTTTTTGCTTCCCGGCTCTAAAAATCATTTGCTCCGGTAACCGATAAAATCCAATACATTGGTGGAGCTGGGTGGAGCAAGCTAATAGTAAATATCTCCGCCCCCATTTCTGAAAACTGGTTAGTTTTTTCGCCCAGCAACCTATATACCATTCGAAAGCTCAGGAAAAGGGGATTCGACCTATACCGTCGACTTCTTTCTAGCCCCTCTATCGAAAGATACACCGCATTTTATCTGAAAACATGGTCATTTTCAACAGCAGATTTCTGCCAAATGAAGATCTAATCACTGCTGATTATCTATCTGTTTTAAAAAACAAGTCTTCATTAACAAACGCAGACCGTCGACGTTCTCGTAGTATTCATTTGGAGAGCAGAAAGTGAGGACAAAAGAGCAGTTGGTTTTTGGGGTACATATAATCCCTCATACCTCGCGACACAGAAGACTTAGAAAAAAGACGACGGTCTACTTCGATTCTCCATAATCTCAGCTTTCGAATGGTATAAAGCATGTTAGGGCTTTTTTGCTTCCCGGCTCTAAAAATCATTTGCTCCGGTGACCCATAAAAGCCAACACATTGTATATTTCGTCCCGAAAGTTTTTGCGCATGATTTCCAAAAATTCATAATTTCTGATTTTTCCAACCGATTTGACTGCTTTCACTTTTATGTGAAAGGGTAAGTCATGCCCTTTATGTCCCTACACGTCAGCTGCTTAGTAATGGTCATCTGTTGCACAGATAGGAGCGATAGAAGAAAATCGGTCAAAATTTGAATTTTCTGTGTAGGGTCACAAGAAATCGGAGACTTGCAACAAAAATCGGAGCAGTCAGTATTATAGGTTTCTTTCACCAGCTCTTTTTGACAGTGCAAAGTTTGCGCCGATTGAGCGTCTCTATGAAAAGTTATGATTTCCCGAAAAATGCCAAAATACTCCAAATTCGCCCTTTCGTATTGCTTGCTCGAAAATCATAACTTTTAATAGAGACCTCAATTAGCGCAAACTTTCCACAGTTAGAAAGAGCAGGTAAAAGAACCTACAGTACTGACTGCTCCGATTTTTGTTGCAAGTCTCCGATTGCTTATGACCCTACACAGAAAATTAAAATTTTTACCATTTTTCTTCTATCGCTCCTATCTGTGCAACAGATGACCATTACTAAGCAGCTGACGTGTAGGGACATAAAGGGCATGACTTACCCTTTCACATAAAAGTGAAAGCAGTCAAATCGGTTGGAAAAATCAGAAATTATGAATTTTTGGAAATCATGCGCAAAAACTTTCGGGACGAAATATACAATGTGTTGGCTTTTATGGGTCACCGGAGCAAATGATTTTTAGAGCCGGGAAGCAAAAAAGCCCTAACATGCTTTATACCATTCGAAAGCTGAGATCATGGAGAATCGACGTAGACCGTCGACTTTTTCCTAGGTCTTCTGTGCCGCGAGATATGAGGGATTATATGTACCCCCAAAAACCAACTGCTTTTTTGTCCTCACTTTCTGCTCTCCAAATGAATGCTACGAGGATTAATAAATAATATAAATAAACATAAATACGTTTCTTTTGTAGATGGATGAGTGTACTTGTTGTTTGAGGTACTTAGCCTGCAAAACCTTTTAATAACGATTTTTATCATATTCTCAGAGTACAATACCAATCTCAGCCCAGGTGAAGGGGGTCATCGGGAGTTTGGCCTCAAAGTGAAGGGAGTAAGATCCATTACTCTCCCTATCGCAACTATGGTCTGGATTGGTTCAGAAATGGAATTTTCTATTTGGAACATACGTACACACAGACATACATGCAGACATATAAACAAATACACTTTTGACTTTATATGTAAGATTATCCGCTTTCTACTCAAATTCTGAGGAAATCTTCGAAAATCTCGCTTTTCGGAGCATTTGCTCTGCATGAATTCGATTTGTCTCACCACAGTGTGAGCGTGAGTTCGAGAATGGTATGGTATTGTGGAAGGGAAGTGTACAGTGATGCTCAGAGAAAAGCACTATTTTAGGACGATGTGATTCAGTTTCCGCCCAAATTTTGAGAAAATCCTTGCGAACTTCGCTTGAGCGGTTGCGGCAATACATGTGCTGATGAGTTGGGAATTCATTAAAGAAAATCTTAGGTTTGAAACAGCATTTATCCAACAATAAGAGTTTGCCCGACGCGGTTACCAGCGACCTGTGGGATCTTAATCTATTAGGTTGTGTAATAAGTTCTGTCCCATTTTTTCTTTCGATTTTTTCTCAATATCTTGCGCGATGTTCTGCAAATTGTTTATATGCATTTGAAAGCTCTAAGCCTTCTCCATACCTTCGATAGTCTAGAGACAGGGCGTCAAAAGTGAAGGTTGTTTGAACATCTGACGTCATAAATAGTGAAGGTTGTTCAAAGAAGATCAGAGAAAAGAAAATGACATAAAACAGATATAAAAAGCAAAGAAACTGCTGAAAAACGGACAAAAACGCTGCAATGAGGCTCGAAATCTTTCATTTGGCGGCTTTTCAATGTGCAAGTTTTCGCTTCAGGACCAGCAATTCGCAGCACGGGGTTTTGATTTTTGATGTGTCCTTTAAATTTTCATCCCCGCATTGACGTTCCTGTTGCCTGGGACGTTGTCTGGATTGTTGCGCTTATTGTTCTGAGCAACAATCGCCCAAGCTGGAAAAAAATCGATGCGAAGGCACTGAAACAGAACAAGGTAAAGAAAAACGCACTTTTTACGATTTTTCGCAAGAAATTTCGCAATAATCGAAGAAATGAGGGCTGGGTGGTTGTCTGCATTATGAACAGAAGCAAGATCTGTAGAATGCACGAAAAAACCGCGTGAAAATAGTTAAACCAGGAGAAAAACAAGAGATTTTCGAAAACAAGGTTTTTGCCGGATTTCTCGATCAAACCAAAAAATGTGGTTCTGGGACGTTGTCAGCGTAAAAATAGAGATCAAGAGCTTCAAAATGATATATAGCTTGCTAAAACTGGGTTCGAAACAGCGAAGAAAAGGGTACCAGAGCCAAATGCCCCGCGCCCCGCGTTTGGGGTAGCGAGGTAGCGCGCAGCGCGCGGAGACGCAGACAAGCAGCGGAGACAGACCAGAGCCGACGGGGCATTTGGCTCTGGTAGTAGATCTTCGCGGCGTCTCAACGAAACCCTGCAACATTATATATCATTCTGATCGTCATGACACGACAAGGAGAACTGGTAACGTCCCAAGCTTTGAAAATCACTCGTGAACGAGATAGACCAGCGTTTTCGTGCGCGACTCTCTGCGCAAGATTTAAGCGCAGTTTCTCGTTCTTATTTAACTCCAATATTCCTAAACTTCTGAAACTCGATTATGTTCGAATGAGAGGTTAACTAAGAAATTTTGTCCTGAATTCTGGCGAAAATCCCACAGAAACCTTTTTTTAGGGCAAAAAAACTATGAAAACGCAAATTCTCGGTTCCGCTGGGATAAAATAAAGATATTATTCCCTACATTTGCTTCATCAACATTCGTTGTGATATAATTAGGATAATAACATCCGGGGCGAAGCCCTGGATGACTTCTGTTTTTTTTTTCAGTGAAGGTTGTGTCCCCTCATAACCCTCAAAGTGAAGGTTACCAGAGTACGTGGCTCTATGTATCGAGGGTATGGCCTTCTCTACTAGAATTTACATTCGGTTTTCTACATCAGATGACTTGAAAAAGTTTTACAGCGTAAAATTTGGAAAATCAAACACTGAAAAAATCCATTTTCGACAACTACGTTACGCCGCCCTCCAAATTAGTCGGAATGCTTACAAATAAGCTTGAAGAATAGAAAAAATCTTCTTTCTAACGCCTTTTCAACGTTGACGTTGGGCATCATCTGGACGCATCCTGAGGGAGGACGGTAGGCGGATCATCTAGATAAGACAGGAGAGACGGTTTTGGAGCCACACAGCTTGGGTACGCAAGACGGCATCGCCGTGACAAAGTCTCGCTTTGCCGACTTTTGGAAAAATGTTATTAAATAGTCGGTGGAAGGAAGGGAACATGCGCAAATAGTGACAGAATAAAAGTAAAACTAATAAATTGTTTTGCTTGTTATTGAGCTTGTTTCGTAAGTTTTATCAACAAAAAGGGAGAAAAATTTGGAGGAAAAAAGGTGTCGAATGGATTTTTTGTTTCAATGATCAAATGTTGTTCAATGTTCCGCTAAGTTGGGGAGTGATGCATATGATTCTGCAGAGCAGACTTAGAACTTTCAAAAGCATATTCACTTTATGTAAAATATAGTCAAAGATGTCGAGAAAAAAAACTAAAACAAAAAATGGGACAGAACTATTACACGACCTAATATTTATAAGGCAATAAGAATGTGACTTTTGAGACAACTCAGGTTCCTTTTCTACAAACCGTCATAGATGAGTTGAGCGTGTTTGAACGGTGATGAAAACTTCAAAGAATTTGCTCAATTAAAAGACCGTCTGACTTCAGTTCCGAATCTTAGGCCACTCAAGAATGGAGAACTCATATATGAAACACTGGGGACTACAACCACTAACTCTACAATGACTACCACCACTAACTCTGCAATAACTACAACCACTAACTCCACAATAACGATGACAACCACGATGACGACAACGACAACCAAAAAGCCAAAACTCTCGACTACGCCTTGTCCAACAGCATCTACTATGAGAAAAGTACCAAGAACCACGACTCCTTGCCCTACACTACCTAGGAGCGCTAGAGCTAGAAGAAAAGCTAGAGAAGTCTTCAATTTGATAAAGGAAAAGGCGCTTTTCCCTGAAGCTGAACTAGGTATGTTCAATGAATTAACAATAATCTTTAATGTGATTAAAAAAATTGAAGATTAACACATTATATTAGGTCGGTGCAGAAGTTTTGTCAGTTTTTTCAATCCATCGGCTCACACTAAAATGAAGATAAACAAACACTTCAAAATGTGTTCGATGCAAAATCTCTTCCTCTTTCCAGCTGCTCAACTCACATTGTGTTTCGTTGCGAGAATGACGAGATATATGCTGGAAATTACAACTGCTCGTTTTTACCATGTCCAACTTTGACTAATTTTTGTATTTTTGTATGGGACTTTCGAAGGAGCACTAATAACCAGCAGATGGGGCAAACCTTTTTCCAATCTATGCAATATTTTTCTTTTTTCCAACTGCGTTTTCAGATTTTTGCTAAATAATTTTCTAAAAGTCTTGTCTTGTGATAAAATCGCATAACCTGTTATTGCACCGAACACTGCAAAATCTACAGAATACTGAGGTTTCAACACTCGATTATTACTACCGCTACCATTACAAAGTAAATGAGCGATTTTCGCTTCAAATTATGAAGATTTTGAAACATAGGTTACGTGAGTGCGCACTCCTGAAATTGAAAGTTACTGCCATTTTCCCCACAAATTTCGTCTGTGTCGGCAAAAAAAGACAAGTGTTAGAAGGAGGAGAAAAAGTTGCATCGACTGGTGACTGAAGTGTTCAACATTTTATGTTTTACGAAGTTAAAATAGGCTGAATGTAAAATTCGGTCACTTCAAAATATAAATCGTAGAAATTCGGAAAGACAAGCCGTAGGGCTACAAAAATTGCTTCTATTGGCAAAAGGTTTGCCCCATCTGCTGGTTATTAGTGCTCCTTCGAAAGTCCCATACAAAAATTTTAAAAATTAGTCAAAGTTGGACATGGTAAAAACGAGTGGTTGTAATTCCCAACAAATATCTCGTCACTCTCGCAACGAAACACGGGAGTTGGGCAGCTGGAAAGAGGAAGAAATTCTGCATCGGATACATTTTGAAGTGTTAATTTATCTTCATTGTGACGTGTTTGCCGATGAATTGAAAAAACTGACAAAACTTTTGCACCAACCTAATAGAATAACACCGCTTTGCTTTTTCAGCGTCAGCGTATAGTGCATTGAGTTGAAAAAGGACATGGACTCTTTAACTTTTCGTAACAGCGCAATACCTTTTATGTTACAGAAGACAAAGAAATTTGTCCTGACAGTTTCATGACAGACAGGCTAAGGATACGCTTTCTTGAAATGCACAATTATCGCAGGTAGCTTGTTTACAGTAGTTATATTCAACAAAATAGCTTAGTGACCTGCTTTTAGGGCATTGGTCGCACTTGGGAAGATAAGTTTCAAGGGGAAGTCTCTACCGCAAGCTCAGAACATGCAAAAATTGGTGGGACTAGCATCAACTTACAAAAATAAAAATCATGACCTTGTAGAGATACGATTGCAAATTAGAAGAGAAAGCAGCGCATTACGCTAGCCAATGTCCAGAAAGAAGTTTTCGTGGAAGTTCCATCAAAGAAATTGGGGAGAATTTTCTAAGAATCGGAGATAGTGTTGGAGACTTTGAGGAAGCAGTTAACGCTGTATGTAATTCCAAAAAATCGAGGAAAATTCTTCAAGTCTCTCAAACACAGACTGTTAGCATATGGTGGGCAGGTGCTAGAAGATTTGGTGCAATCGATCCTTCGATGTTGCTAAAATCCCGTAATTTTGGCCCTCGCATACTCTCCTTTACCCAGGTAGGACAACTAACATTTGGAAATTGAAAAATGTTGTTAAGCCGATAGAAATACGTAAGCCTTCTGTCACCACTTCTAGATGGCTTGGGCAACGACTCGATACATCGGCTGCTCTATCGTCAAGTGTTCGTCCTCATATGTATCAGTTTGCAGGTATCAACCAAGGTTCGTCGTTCCGATACTCTTGATTTAGAGGGTTTTAGACAGCCCAACAAGGAAAGTAACCTTTTCGTTTAAATTCGCGAACCTGTCGTACTATCGTACACAGCTAGCTTCTTGCAGAGGAAGCAAAATTTACAGTGGCCATTTTTGGTACTGGGTGTTTCAAAAGTATGTATCACCACTTAAAAATTCGACAGCACCAAAGAAACAGTTTTCAAAATTTTGAGCAGCCAAGTTATAGAAGTTCGGGGGTTTAGTATGAACATTTAAGAATAACGAGACTTGACCATCTTAAAAAGCATGGGTAGCAGATTTTGGCAATTTGCCGAGAGTTAACTGTGCTGCAATGAGTTTATGACCATTAGAAAGAAGGTAGAATCCTGCATCGAATGCTCCCAACTCTCTTGTAAATCTTTGTTCTTCCAAATGTGGCCCTATTTGAAAAAAGCGACATTGCTTTTGGAAGGACCTAACAATGTAAATAATTAAAGTAATTCTTGATAAGTAGTCATGTAAAATCTAATTTTGGGAACCTGGCTACCGCCATCTCCTTGTTGAAATGTCGGACTGGTGGTCTGGAAAATTTGAGAAATGTCGTTGAAAATCTATGGAGGGCCATGCGAAAAATTTCTGCCGACCTCGCCCCCGATCGGATTCCTGAGGGTCATCGGTGAAAACGTACAAGTACGGGATGCGGACGGGTAAGGTTCGACCCGATAAGTTTCCGGGTTAGGTAAACTCGCAAAACTTGTCGCCAGTGGAGAAGACTCCGCATTGTTGTGACACTGGTTGTATCCATTCTTTGTTATATCTTCTATTGTAGAGATTAATGGTTGTATAGTGCATTAACGCCGCCAACTTTACTTGCACATAAAAAGAATTTGTCTTTGAAACTTGTCACTGTGGCCGTCAGAAATCGAACGATTGTCACTGTTGTCTCATAACCAAGTAAATTTCATAAAATTCCGCAATTTGCATTGGGAGGTGAATTGGCTTGCTGAGATCGTTGCCAGGCTTCTTGATCTGGAAGATATGAAACAAAAGTCACTACCAGAATAGAGCAAGAGGTGTGGTACACAACCTCCGGGCACGATCCCCCCCCCTCCCCTCCTCCCCCACCAGTCCTTGTCTCAACCCCCTTCTCCAGTTTTTGTCCCACCCCTCCTTCCACCATTGTCATTTTTCTGCCGTAAGCATAACATTGAAACTCTATCAAACATAATTAGTAACACGTTTGCAATTAGCACGTCGGATAACTCCTATGGGCCAAGATTTAGCGAATTTTGAGGGTTCCCGATGTTGAGTCACTCAAGTGAATTGGTCATTTTTAAACACAGTTAACTTCATTTCAAAAGTAATTAGCTACCCTTTACTGCATTCAATACAAAGCACTACTCCTTCTTCGACCACATGAAAAATCCCACTTCAAGTGATTTTCACTTTGGACTTAGAAGCCATCCAAACTTTCATTTGATCAATTTTTCGCAGGCAACCTTTCTGCTTGCAACTTCTACAAGATCGAAGAAGATGAATCAGGCTCAAATCAGTCACGTGAGAACTATGAACCTTTGCTATTGAACTGTTATGTTAACAAGGGCCAAAATTCTCGCTGGAGATAAGCTAGTGGGGTGTGGCACAACTCCGCGGTGTCCCTGCAAAATTTCAAAGCATGGAAGCAGGGAAGTCACCTTTGAAGCAAAGCTAATCGTGTTTGAAAATGATCATTTTACCGTTGCTGGCCTAATATCTGGAAACCTAAGAGCTTGCAAAAACTTGATTTACACGAGTTGTTTGGCATGCTGATTACGAAAATGATGCCCTTTTGCTTTTGAGGCTTCTTTGTAATGCTTACTACGTATACGATAGTATATCAAGTCTCAGTGCGCTTGTATTCTGCATAATGGGGTTGTCTGAAATTTCTCTCAAAAACGTTATTGCTTACATCACTATCACCTCGATAACGACACCCTCACCCCCGCAATCCCTCGATACGACTCCCCAGGTGTGGCGTGCCACACCCACGCTTAACCCTGGTCATGACCTGAACGAGTTTTCGCTACGCTATTTTCGCCATCCCTTGGAAGAGGCAGCTTCAGTTAGCACTCCTATAATATTACTGGCATCGTGGCGTGTATCTGCGCCCCATCCACCTATTCGTGCAGTGTCACTTTAGCACCTATGACTTTTGGAGGAAAACAAAATTTTAGCAAGGTCTGAACGGCATGCGCTGTGTGGCTCTTGACTCCCCAGCCGAATAATCATGGCATAAATCCGTAATCTCCGTATTCACACATTCAACTCGAAATAAGGTCACATTTCAGTGATTAGCATGAATAGTATCCCTAGGTCAAGCTTCTTCCGAACCTACTATTGATGTTCCCGCATCAGTTGCTTCAAAATATACTCAGCGTTACCTTTGAACACGATCAAAAGATTTGCTAGAAAATGGCTGTGTTTCTAGCTACAGATTGAACTAGATGATATCAAAAATGAATGCGCAATGCTTAGAAGGAAAAAGGTTATGGAAAAAGCTGCAAGGCATGGTTGTCAACCTGTTCGTATAAAGAGGGAGACGGTCAAGAGGCGCGTTTCAGATGTCACCAACTTCAAACTCTATTTTAGTGCTATGCTATAAAGGTAACTTGCCCAGAACTTGGAATTCCAACATATCAAACGAATGAGTATGTTTTGTATGTTTAGCTTCTATAAAAGTACTGTTGCACTATATTAGCGTTTTTTTCCTACCACGGTACTCGTGCCAAATGCGGCAAAACGATAAAGATTATGGCCCAAATGAGTGTAAGGATTGGGTTTGATTAAAGAATTTCCAGTCGAACTTCTT